CAAACCATTAACACTTTTGTTCATCTTCTAAACACAAATTAATGTATTTTTAATGTAACTGGAAAGATTTCAGTCCCTTCACTGAAAGTCCATTTCACCAAAGCAAACGCGTTTACTGTATTTGATGTGCTCCATGTATGTGCGTTGATCAATGCTTACATGTGAAAAAAAGATTAAATTAAATCTGTTCATGGTGTGATCTCAAGTGAAGACTTACATTTAGGTGCTTTATTCATATTGATGGATTACTTTTACATTCTCTTTATGAACTTTTTGAAGCATCAATGTTTTGGTTGCTGGGACTTTCAAAGGAGGGCCAGAAATTTCTCAGGTTATATTAAAAATATTGTCATTTGTGTTTGAAAGATTCTTATAGGTTTGGAATGACATGAGGGGTGAGTAGATCATTTTCATTTTTGGGTGAGCTATAGGCTTGTGGGACTTAAATCAGAGTAATTTCTGGTTCAAATAAAACCTAGTGTCTGTATAAATGGTTTCTTTATTAACAACATAATTATTGCATTAATAAAGTGCTGGTAATAAAGGTATAATGCTATTATCATGAATACTATTGTTGTAAGTTTGTTTGTTCAGCGCAATCGGAGAAAGAATTAAATTCCTTATGTATTTTGTAGACCCCTCAGACAGAAAATTAATATCTACATCAGCATGTAGAAGTATTGGGCACAGGATTCTTTGTCATTTATATTCTGTTGATGGCAACTAAACCCTCGCCCAAAGCTTGACATTTGTTTTTTAATAGGTCAGGTAAGTTCATAGTTTGCACAGTCAGGCAGGCAGGGTCAATAGTGGATGCCAGTCGTGTTTTCATGGTGAGGCCTGTAAAGGGTGACGCCTGCTTTTCTCCTCTTACGGTCTACTGCTTATTCTTATAATGCTGCACTAAAACAGGCGTGCTGCTTTTGGCCCTTCGTTCTTGTGCTGCGCTGTTTTGGAGGTGGCTGATCTCTCCGTCCGACTGTATCATTCAACACACCTCACTGAAATCACTTGTTCAGCTGTACAATACACACATGAGAAAATTAACCAGATACACATTTTTACACTTCATCGCTGACAGACAAGTTTGGGAATTTAAGTTTAGAAGGACCCCTTGTAGTTTTGCTCTAGGCACTATACTGAATTTTGCAGTTAGGTTCCTAATAAGATTTGAAATTAGTTTGAATTCCTTTTGGGGTCATTTAAAATGTTATATGCTCTTACATTACCAGACTGCATCATGTACACGAAGGAAAAAAATCTAAATTTGCACTTTGACACACAGATTGCTACATCAGATATTTGCTGTCCATTTGGAATATGAATATTTATATCCTAATTTTGGACTACTAGCATTTGTCTCCTCATTTGTTCAGGTGTTTATGCTAAATACAGAGTGGCTTAGGTGAGTGTGTGTTGATCCTGAGGTTCAGAGTTTAAAAGTAAATGCTCAAGAAGGTGGTGAAGGGACTAAAAAGATGCTTTATGGATTTTGTTTCAGATATTTTAAGTTTTATGAGCATAAGATATCGATACCAAAATCTACATGACCAGGACTAATACTTAGCTAGCATAATTTGAATTGAGGGACTAAACTTGTTGGTTTTCTTTGAGGAGTCCGTATGAGGGAGAGGGTCGAGATGAGGCCAGCAGGTGAGGACAACGACTGACTAATAAAAATCTTTTATCTACAAAAGCGTACTGCTCAGATCACTGAATCATTACTTACTAAGGCATTTAAAAAAAAAAAAAAGAAAGATTCATGTTCCGTTAGAGTGCTGAGTCATTTAAAGCTTAAACTGGGTATTTTTCTTTTGAATCATTGGATGACTTGCATCATGAGACAATCAAATGTACACTACCGTTCAAAAGTATGGGGTCAGTAAGATTTTTAAAAGGTTTTTGAAAAGTCTTTTGTTTACCAAGGCTGCATTTATTTAAAAAAAAAATAAAAAAATACTGTAAAACCATACTATTGTGAAAAATTGTAATAAAAAAATTATTTGGTGAATAAAAAGTTCAAAGGAACAGCATTTTTGATTGTTTTTTTGTAACAAATACCTTGACTGTCACATTTGAATATTTTAATGTGCCCTTGCTAAATTAAATAATTCCTTAATTTGACTGACCCCAAACTTTTAAACGGTAGTACATTTCTTTCATTTACATGCAAAAATGTATTAGTATCTAAAAATAGGTAATAAATACATTTTACATTTCTACACTTCTAAACCAAGTTGATGTTTTATTTATATTTGTATACTTTTTGTAGTTTTTGTTTTTACCCGCAAAAAGCACCATACAGATATCAAATTAGTGGATGCTGTTGTTTTGACTGCATTGTAGTCTTCCACCATAGCACCATGTTGGTGTTTTGTGTTGTTGATAAAAAACATTTAATCATGTTGATTTAAACTTTTAAACGTGTTAAAGCAGAAGAACTAGTTACAGCTTGAATCAACCAAGCTGCTTCTGTCTGTTTTCATTTCCTTGTCTTCCGCATGTTCACCTTCGTTTTCCTGTTTGTGCCTCTCTCCTCTCATCATTTTCACTGAAGACCCATGTTGAGCACAGCAGACAAGATGGAGAAAGGTATCCAAGGACTGCCTGGCGATGAAAACAAGGACTCCTTTTCCTCTTCTCCAGCGTCCAGCACACCTTCGTCCACCCAGACCTCCAAACCACGCTCCCTCCGCTTCACCTGGAGCATGAAGACCACCTCCTCCATGGAGCCCAATGAAATGATGAAGGAGATCCGGAAAGTTCTGGACTCCAACAGCTGCGAGTATGAGTTGAGCGAGCGCTTCATGCTCCTCTGTGTTTCGGGCAACCCCGCGCATGACGACTTTGTCCAGTGGGAGATGGAGGTGTGCAAGCTACCTCGCCTCTCGCTCAACGGGGTGCGCTTCAAGAGGATCTCCGGAACCTCCATCGCCTTCAAGAACATCGCCTCGAAGATCGCCAACGAGCTAAAACTGTGAGGAAGATGATGGTTTCTGTGGAAAAGATCTTGAGGAACGGCTGGAGCCCGTGTGTTGGGAATGAGGAAGCACTGTGAGGAAAATCATTGGAGTTGTGAGCTCTACGGCAGCATTGAAGAGTCTTGAGGCTGTAAAGGGGGAAAAGGTGTAAGACAGGTTCATGGGGGACATTTTGTGCATATAGACATTTTTCAGGGGGGTTATTTTTGGGGGGAAGTGTTCTGTCTTGGTTTGGGTTTTCTGTTCTTTACTCACCCCCCTCGAATGCTTTGTGTTGTCATCTTTATTTGTGGCAATTTTGTTCAAATGTTGTGGGTTTTCTTGGAACTCACAATTGTCCTCAATTCAGAAAAAGTTAAGAGACCATGAGAAAACGTTGGTTTTCATAAACTGGAATTGTTTGCCAGTATATGTATTTTTTTTTTTACAAACACAAACCAGCTCCTGTCATGGACAGCTGTATCTAACTCTCCCTCCATACCCTGGTCCTTATTCCTTGTTCATCCCCAAACACAAACAATGCTAATCCACCACATTACTTGATCTTACTTCCAATTCCATGTTAGCTGTGATGAGCAGAGATGGAGATATTGGTGGTTGACGCTCAGAATGTACAACACAAAATCGAGACCCAAATGGCTAGGCACATTCAGTGGAGCCATCATTTGAATTTTCATATCTACTCATCATGATCTGATTGGTTCTGATCTAGACAATGAAATTGCTAGCTAATCCGTAACCTCTGCCCCATTTCTACGTCACAACAGTACAGTGTCTTATTTGAGCTGAAATGGAAGTGTTGACTTGAATCCTTGGTGCACTGGAGGTGAATCACCTCTTAGCACTCAATGCCCAGACAATTAGTTTTTTTGTTGTTTGTTTTGTTTTTTCCTCTACTGCAGGAGTTATATATCTGAAACTAATTAAGGGCCAATTAAGTAATTATTGGTGGATTGTAGTGTAATTAAGAATTGCTGGTTGGATCCAATCTGCTGCACTGGAATGAGTCTGTTTCTCGTTGCCTTTCTCTGGAGAAGATAATTATTAATATTATTATATGAATAAACCAGACGTTGGATGATTTGTGTTCAGTTATTCATGAGCAACATTCTTTTTATTTTAGTGCATAGTTTTATTTTCTTTTGTTTCACCTTCAAGCAACATTTGAAATATGCTGATGTTCTTTAATTGATTTAAAGAGCATGCAATACAAATAAAACGATTTACTTTCTAAAATATTTCCATTTGAGAGCACTTGGAAACTTAGCAATTTAGGTGTCAATTTTTGTTTGTTTGGTTTAGGGTAACACTTTTATGAGTAACCTTCATTTAATAACATTTAAAAATTACTTTTACCATTATGCCAAGTCATTAATTGTACATTTAAATGTTATTAATTAAATTCATATCTTTACGTGTTTGTTTAAATGTACGTTAATTACTGATCTGTTAAACATATTTATTATATGTTAATTATAAAGTGATAAACGTTTTATTCTTGGTTTATGATGCTCTTCTAAATGTGTTTGCAGTTTTCATTTGTTGGCTAAATGTTTTTAGAGTCTTCGGATTATCCAGATATTTAATCCATATGTGTAAATTGGGCTATGTCTAGTTCAAATAATTGGGCATTTTGTTGAACAATCAGAGGAAGGAAAGAAAAAATGACACCGGGTGCATCCTCTGTCATGTGCACATCTGGGTAGTGATTTCCGATTCGTGAACGAATTGTTTCGAGCCGGATCACACTGAATCGATCCGACCTGTTTTTGAGTATGAGGGTCGAACCGTAAATTACTCAACAGCCGAAAAGCTGAAACGTTATAAATATCAAACATTTTTGATACATACATTTTACAATACACTACAAAGGCTTACAGTGTATAATTGGCCACGCAGATATATAAGGGACCTCATGTTGACGTTATTACGCGATTACGTAATAGCCACTGAATCATTTGAGCCTGTCGTTTGAAGCAAATTGTTCGAAAGAACCGGTTCGCATGAGAGGGACTTTCGATCACTAACTGGGGTCAAACGGTAGGAGGCGCCAACTCTCAGTCTGGTCACGTTTATGTGACCCTCCCCCAACCCTCGAACGAGGCAGACATTCACCGACGTTCTTTCTCAGCGAGCTTACCCGTCGTCGTTATAGTTGTGCTTTGAAGGTAAATTTTAAAGATTACACTTTATGTGAGACTTCAAATGTTTATCTTCGGTATTTCACCCGTCGATTAGAAGTACGCCACGACCGTTTGAATGATCATAATGCAGAAAATGTCTTCACTCCGTTGTCCGATATTCTCCCTTTGTACTGAACGTCGTCCTCACGTGAACCGAGAATATCTTGATTTAATCGCACGGATTTATTTTACAATGCGAGATTCTTTTCTTAGCGTAAAGTATTATTTTTTTTAGCTGTAACGTGTTCACTCACTAAATATTTCAGTTACTTCCTTAGTCTGGTGCTAATAGATAGTGGCGTTAGCACGATAGCTTTAGCCATTGCATGATTGCGATGCAGTAGATCAGTTTTTAGTACATTAGATCAAAGATATACACTCTTGTCATTGGACGTTCAACCCAGTTCATGTTGGCCACATATTAAGATATAAAAGAAGACTGAATCGTGTTTGAAATTAATTTGATAGCATCAAGCCCTCATTATTACGCACTCTGAAATACTTGATTCTGATTGGTTAGTCGTGGTCAGGTGCTCAGCGGTAAAGTGTTTTTGTAGCGTGGTGGCTAAACTGTTATCATTTACAACAGCCATGTAGTAATTCCGTAATAATTTCTAACAAATCCTTTATTTTGCAATAATGCCAATTATTTGTAATAGTTACATGAACACCAACACGATTATGAGGACCCCAATGTGAAGCTTGAGTACAATATCCATTATTATTAATACTTATCTTGACTTGTATTCCTACGATTTAACCATTAATTATTATAAAATATCAATGGAAAAGTGATTGATGGCAGCAGGGAAGTTGTGGTTTACCCGGTGTGCTTTGCATTTGAAATTCTTGCTAATGTTGATTTCCATACATTTTGCCTGTTTATTTGACTTTGTTGTTTTTTCTTAGGAACTTCATCGTTCGATCACTTGCAAATCAACCAAAGACTGATCCCAAAACACACTGCCGTTCTTCCTGTCCAAAATGGTGAAGATATTTGTTGGCAATGTAGCTTCAGCAACCACCGAAGACGAGCTCCGTGCTTTGTTTGAGAAGTACGGCGCTGTGTCTGACTGTGACATTCTGAAAAACTATGGTTTCGTGCACATGGATGAGGAAGAGGCAGCGCAGAAGGCTGTCTCCGCTTTGCACAAGCACGAGGTCAATGGCTCCCGCATCACCGTCGAGTATGCCACCACCAAGGTACGCAATGCCACCAAGATCTACGTGGGCAATGTTCCCGAAGGTGTCACCGCCGCCAAAATCAAGGAGCTCTTCCAGCCGTTCGGCAAGGTGGTGGAGTGCGATATTGTGAAGAATTATGCATTCGTTCACATGCAGAGGGAAGGCGAGGCTCTGGAGGCCATTTCAAAGCTTAGCCACTCCAAATTGGATGGCCAAAAGATCTTTGTGTCCCTCTCACGCAGTAACCCATCCAGAAACGACCGAGGGGAGGACTATTTTCCTCCTCCACCGCATCACTATCCACCTCACCCGCACCACCATCCTCACTTTGTCCCTCCACGCCAGCCGCCCCGTGACTACTATCCGCCTCGTGGCCGACTTCCACCCCCTCCTCTCCCACCACCGCCACCCCGCGCCTACTATGAGCGCGATGTGTACGAGAGGGAACTTCGCCACGACCCGTACGCCGCCCCATCCCCGCGATATTACGATCCGGATCCATACGACCGCCGCATTCCGCCCCCTCAGCGGCCGGTCACGCCTCCTCTCGCCAGTCGCTACTACCGAGAGCGCAGCCCTCTTGGTGATCGCCGCTCTCTCCTGCCCCCCCCTCCCCCTCCCCCCTCTTCTGCCGGCTTTGCCCGGGGTTTCGCCCGCAATGGCGCTAGCTCTGCACCCCCTCCTCCTCCCGCCGCTCCTTCCTCCCACTATCAACGCTACTCTCTCGGCTCCGGCTTTGATAAGGATGATTATTTTGAGGAAAAGTACAGCAATGGCTACAGCCGTAGCTACTAAGCATTGAAGTTTGTCCGTCCCATTATTTTCGAGGAGCTGAGTAATCTAAGAGGGGCTTACCATCAGTGAGTTAGGGGTGAATTTTTGTAATATTCTGTGATAATTGTAGCTATTTTAGATAACGGGTCAATCAGCTAATACTGTACTCATTTAACTAATAAATTTACCTTTGCCCGATGAAGGATCAGCAAATAGGAAGTTAAATAAACATGAGTTTTATAGCATGTTATGATGCATTATATTTGCCAGGCATATCGGTTTGACTATTTTCTTAAAGTAATTGAACTTTTTTTTTTTTCTTTTTAAAATAAAATCATACACTTTACGTTCATTTTACTCTGGCATGCACTTTCGAAAATTCAAAAGAACGCTTGAATATATAATTTTTTGTTTTTGCATTGATATTTCAACATGCATAGTCTACCCAACAAGAAATTTGTTGTTGAATGTTTACCTTTGTTTTCTGATTGGTATTTAAGAATATTCAAGTGTTTTAGTTTTCACTTTCTTTTGCATGAGATGGAGAGTTAATTTGGAGGGAATTAGAATTTATTAAGGGGCTCCGCAAACAAATGTAATACTTTTAAAAAAAATTTTTTTATAGTTTATCATTTCTTTTTTAAAACAAATCTCATCTCTTGATTACCTTGGTCTAGGCAAATGAACTTGCTATGGTGTTGTTAAAAGTAATGTTGGATGTTAGAGAGACCAGTGGGAAGGAACAGAGAGGAAATGGGTAAAGAGGTTGTTTTGGGCGGAACTGTATGCTAACTGACTGATCAACCAATCACATCCTACCGGCTAACCGAGCACATCGCATCTACCAGCCGCTCAACTTTCGGATCCGCTGCCGCATCCTAGGATAAAGCACCACCGGTCAAAGGAAGCGAACGACCGACCAGCTGCCAACCGCCTAATAAATTCAAAACAACACGGAATCATTAGTGCAATATCTACACTGTGTTTCGAAATCTCGTTGTATTAGACAAATAGCAGACTCGGAGAAAGTTTTTAAAGATTATAAAGACTTATTTTGACATCACATTATAATGGACGTGCTTGTGATTGAAAATATTACTGAATACTCAACATTGTTTCCTGTCCTACTTGTACTACTGCTGTTTGCCTATTGTTAGCATACACTTCTGTTTAAAATGTACGTTTGTAAAAAGCCTGTTTTCTCGACTGTTTATCCGAAACCGCTCTCTTTATCATATTGTCCACTCGAGCAGGTTCGAAACTTATGCTTGTTTTGATTTAAACCTATGAAAACAGATTCCTGTTCTATCAGTCGCTGTCATCTTGCCGCCTGAATAAAAATTCGACTGACTTAGACGCAACGTTTTCATGTCACTCGTTTTTAATTGAGTCTCTTTAATTTCTACCTCATGTCTCACTCGCTCGAGTTATCATTCGTATAATACAAATATCCTTTGACTTGATCACTCATGTGTAAAGTAAAGTGCCAAATAGATTCGTATTGAAACTGCACTTTCCGCTTGAACCCTTCATTTAAAAGGCCAAAGGCATTAATTTAAACCTTAGTAAATTCCAGTCACTTTATCTTCTTTTTGGTCCACAGTAATCCCTGGCCAAGATGAATGAATGTTTGATGCTCTGTTTTGAATATCTTTAACAGCTTTGTGTGGCTCATCAGGATGGGTGAGTTAAAAGTGAAGGTAAGTAGTACTACAAGCTGGATTGTTTTTCACGTTGCACGTTATTGTATGTATTCTTGTGCTAGCAGAGCCTGTTTGACTTCAGTTTTTCACTGGTGATATTATTAGAACAGTCACACACTGTTCCTGAAACACTTGATCCTGATAGTGCAGTTGTTTCATGATGTCCGTCGAGTGTTTTTAAAGTGTGATTTACCTTTTCTCCTCCGAGCCTTTCAGTAGAGCCACATTGACAGAAGTTTGTTTTCTGTAGTCATCTCTATAATCAGCCATTTCAAGAGGAGGAATGGTTTTACACTTCATAAACTGTATTTCGCCCTTTTTTTATGATTCTTCCCGCCTTGTGCCACATGCCTCAGTTGAAACACTCCAGTCACCACCACCTTATAACTTCTCATGCAAGTGTTTTGAATGGGAATGATAAACAACACTTTATTAGTGTTCACTTTGAGATTTAGTGAATATAGGCAACTTTGAATGATTTAGTTTCATTGGTTGCCTTTTGCTTAGCATTTCTGATGATCTTTTAAAGAACAACAGGAATCCAAAATGAGTAATACCAAAATGAGGTAATGAACTCATAAGATTCCAGAAAATGTCAGAGCATTTCAAGATTTTAGGGTAGTGAATGTTAAATGTAATTAGAAGTACAAAATAACAGAAATATGAACACATCTATAGACTGTGTATTTTTCAGGAATTTGTATCTTTTATGTGAGCAGTGTGTCCCTGTGATATTAATATTGGTATAATTAGGTATTCTTGGGTACTTCTAATTAGGTAACTTAGTCACGTAATAGATTTAAAGTACGTTTTAAATAATTTCATTTTTAAATGTTTGTTGGACATCACAATGTTAAAGTTTGTCTCCATCACTATAATATTTTAATGAGTTATGTAAAGACAATATTTTTTATTGAAATCCTTGTTCCTTCAGTTTTTTCCTAACTAGAATTGTTCTGTTTTCTCGACTGTTTATCCGAAACCGCTCTCTTTATCATATTGTCCACTCGAGCAGGTTCGAAACTTATGCTTGTTTTGATTTAAACCTATGAAAACAGATTCCTGTTCTATCAGTCGCTGTCATCTTGCCGCCTGAATAAAAATTCGACTGACTTAGACGCAACGTTTTCATGTCACTCGTTTTTAATTGAGTCTCTTTAATTTCTACCTCATGTCTCACTCGCTCGAGTTATCATTCGTATAATACAAATATCCTTTGACTTGATCACTCATGTGTAAAGTAAAGTGCCAAATAGATTCGTATTGAAACTGCACTTTCCGCTTGAACCCTTCATTTAAAAGGCCAAAGGCATTAATTTAAACCTTAGTAAATTCCAGTCACTTTATCTTCTTTTTGGTCCACAGTAATCCCTGGCCAAGATGAATGAATGTTTGATGCTCTGTTTTGAATATCTTTAACAGCTTTGTGTGGCTCATCAGGATGGGTGAGTTAAAAGTGAAGGTAAGTAGTACTACAAGCTGGATTGTTTTTCACGTTGCACGTTATTGTATGTATTCTTGTGCTAGCAGAGCCTGTTTGACTTCAGTTTTTCACTGGTGATATTATTAGAACAGTCACACACTGTTCCTGAAACACTTGATCCTGATAGTGCAGTTGTTTCATGATGTCCGTCGAGTGTTTTTAAAGTGTGATTTACCTTTTCTCCTCCGAGCCTTTCAGTAGAGCCACATTGACAGAAGTTTGTTTTCTGTAGTCATCTCTATAATCAGCCATTTCAAGAGGAGGAATGGTTTTACACTTCATAAACTGTATTTCGCCCTTTTTTTATGATTCTTCCCGCCTTGTGCCACATGCCTCAGTTGAAACACTCCAGTCACCACCACCTTATAACTTCTCATGCAAGTGTTTTGAATGGGAATGATAAACAACACTTTATTAGTGTTCACTTTGAGATTTAGTGAATATAGGCAACTTTGAATGATTTAGTTTCATTGGTTGCCTTTTGCTTAGCATTTCTGATGATCTTTTAAAGAACAACAGGAATCCAAAATGAGTAATACCAAAATGAGGTAATGAACTCATAAGATTCCAGAAAATGTCAGAGCATTTCAAGATTTTAGGGTAGTGAATGTTAAATGTAATTAGAAGTACAAAATAACAGAAATATGAACACATCTATAGACTGTGTATTTTTCAGGAATTTGTATCTTTTATGTGAGCAGTGTGTCCCTGTGATATAATATTGGTATAATTAGGTATTCTTGGGTACTTCTAATTAGGTAACTTAGTCACGTAATAGATTTAAAGTACGTTTTAAATAATTTCATTTTTAAATGTTTGTTGGACATCACAATGTTAAAGTTTGTCTCCATCACTATAATATTTTAATGAGTTATGTAAAGACTATTTTTTATTGAAATCCTTGTTCCTTCAGTTTTTTCCTAACTAGAATTGTTGCACTGATCACCATCCCTTTAACATAAGTACAGTAGGTGTGTGTATATATATATATATATAAATTCCAAACTTTTAAATAATTGAGTTGAAATTATGCTGTGATTTAGCATTTAAGTGCTGGTGATTTGCAAGGCAATAACCAGCTATTTATAACTGAAAAACCTGCAATTATTAACCCCTAATCTGACAATTGTGCAGGACCGTCTTCCTAAAGTGTTAATGTGGTAAAAAAAAAAAAAAAAATCCGTCCTGGACCTTTACAGCACACACCGTTTCCTGAGAATGACCCATATAAAAAATAACATCAGATAAAGAATTTCATACAGACAGTAGTACGTGAAACCTTGGGTTTGAGTAGGATATCTGCTGTGACAGCAGATTAAATGTGCAAATGTGAGAGGTTAGACTTGTTTATCTGGTCTATTAGAAAAGCAGTAAGTAAGAAGTTCATAGATTGAGTACTATAACCTCCATATAAGGCATAATCAAAATTATGAGAAGAGCACAAGCGATGCACAATCTGATCTAGCTCTGTGTAATTGTCTTTCTTTCAGACTGACAGCTTTTCGACAATCATTGCAGTATAGAATGTTATAAATACAACGTGTAGTCTCTTATAATGCAAATAACTTTGATCAAGTGTCCAATATTTTGCTTTAGTGCTCACTAATGCGCATTTCCACGTATGTGTTTCTCATATCTGTTTGTGAATAAAGGCAACATGATGGTTATTTAATCATTTTCCTGTGTTGTGAATTTGTTTGCCTCATTGCATAGCTATTTTCTGCAGTTCTGCAATCTTCCCTACCCTCATATTCTCCGAACACACACACACAAACACACACACACACACACACACAGAGACAGAGACACAAAAGAGTACCTGACCATTCAAATGACCACAGCGTCAGTAAATGCGCCTTTTCGCTGCCTGAAATGAAATCCTGCAGCACCCATCATTACTTTTCAGGAGAGATCTCGAGCGCATGTACGACGTTCCGGGATCCAATTTGGCGCGCTTTGTGTTTGAATTTGAACAGCGTTCTGACATTCCGGTCAACTGCTTTACATGCGTGAGTATAAACTTTGAACTAAGGTTGACTTAAAACAAAATCACTAGTACACAGCAATACGCAAAAATTGATCACATTTCTAAGATTCTGATGATATAACCTTTACGTATGAGTGGTTGTCATTATTTAACATAAAGCAGCTAATAGAGCTGTAGGTCTTATAGTAATAGCTCTATTAAATCTTAGCATGATGGGAGCTAATATGACTTTAAGCATAGTTGGTCTCCAAAGGTGAGCAAATTTACTCTTAAATTCATAAGCAAACCAAAGATGCAAGGTCAGGAAAATAAACGAATTTACCTTCTCAAAATTTAACTACAAACTTGATAAAGTCAGCATGAAATGAAAAGTAATCTGATTTTCTAAATGCATGTTTTTGATCTTATTGTGAACAACTCATCTTTTTAAATTTTTTACCTCATAACTTCTAATAAAAATGTTATAACTCGATCTTTCTGTGAAACAACAGACTTCTCTCTGGTGACTTATGGCAGACTTCTCCAATCATTTAGTCATCTTAAACCCTGTTCCTTTCTTACAGTTGACTGCAAGCTTTCCACCTAATAAACAACCGATGGATAGAACCAAGAACCCATCCTTTATTTGATCTTTTTCAATCGGTTTCACTCGAATACACAATACAGAAGAAAAGATCTGTTACTACTTTCGGTATCATGCCTTTAATGTAATATTGACCAAATCATTTTTTAAGTAGCAGAATTTCATTAAAACACATTATTGTCATGTTTTTCAGGGCTGAATTGTTTGAAGTATTACAAAAATGATAGTACCGTCAGTAACGTTGATGTCAGGAGTGCAGATGCCACTTTTGGGTTTGGGCACATACAAGCTCCAAGACCATGAGCAGCTGAAACAGTCACTTCTGCTCTTCGAGCGGGATACAGAGCCTTTGAC